TTATTTGGTCTACCATTTAATGGTTTAAAGTCTCTGTGGCTATTAAAATGTCCTTGTTTACTAAAAGACATTCTGTAGGAACATTTACTCCTCTGCACTTTTGACCTTCTACCCCTTTAAATTTACAATATTTAGCAATATGCCCTATCTTCAAGCACACATAACATCTCCTTTCCTTAAGATCAGGTCTTGTTCATAATACTGACATTTTTCCAGGTATGTTATCCATTACCCTTTTAAGGCCAAAGTCTCTCAAATAAGCAATTGTATAATCTAAATCCACTTTTGCAATAGACTCAAGCATTGATTTGCAAAGGATTGTGGTAGACTAAGTAATATACAGGTGTGAAAGACTGCAGACTGAAGCTCTGAAACAAGCTTTAACATTTCATCTAAGTGCTTACCAATACTAGTCCCTTCTTTCATCCTCATACTATACAATCTTTCTTTCAAAAATATTACATTCTTATTTGATCTAATGAAATATTTTCCCTTAAGAGGATTATATAAACCTTTAGCTGTTCTATATTTAGTTACTAATGGACTTTCACGATCTTCTATACAGGCATATAATATCATTAAGACTTTTGCTTCTTTCATTTCATACTCCTTTTGCTCTAATTGGCTTTCAGGCATATCTTTATCTATGATGTCTAAACAGTCTTGTACTTGAAGGGAAACTCTTAACCTTGGATCCCACATTTGAAAATTCTTCCTATTTAACTTTGGAATTAAAAATACACTGTTATTACTTACACCCTGTTGGAAACCTTGAGTAGATGTAATAGCTCCATCTGTTAAAGTGCCTAAGGTTACAGACATTTTAAAATTACTCTATGCAAGCTCCTCTGCTAAATTCTCCTTTAATTTAAAATATTTACTATCAATAATTCACTTATATAAATCACCTTATCTCTTTAAAAATTTCTTACCATTAAAAAGAAAAAAAAAGGCTCTTTGCTGTCTGGATCAAAAGGAAAAACACCAAACTTAATAATAACTTTCTTGTCTTCTCTTAAAAAAGTTTATCAGCTTCTCCAGCCCAACCATCCTCTACTACCAGTTTGTTGGGTAATGAGATTAAGAGAAGACAAGGTATATAAATTATCAACCTTTATACAGTATCTATTTAAAATATACAAAAGGTAAACTTAAACATAAAATATATCCTCAACAATACAAAAGTGATAACAAAGAATATAAATAATATATTACAAATATACCAGACAGCAGGGAATAAGCAGTGAGCCTAAAAAGGTAAAATCAGGACAGCAGCAGAACAAGTAAGAGGAAAGACACTTCTCTTATACAGAGTTTGCCACCTGATTCTAATAGTTCACAGCCAAAAACAATCTCTTATTAATTCTATAGTTAATAGTGTTAAAGGTGTAGATCTTGCAAATGCAACTCCAACACTTTGAAGTTTCATTACAGCATTTCTACAAAGTCATGCATATTGTTATTCTCCCCCTGCCCCCGCTTTAAAAATAATCTTAAACTGGGAACTCAAATGGGAAGACAACAATATGCTCCAGCTGCAAAGCAACTTGAAGAGAGACCCACATTCCAGAACATTTCTTCTGACTCTCTTTTCTTTCAGAAGAGACTATGAAATACCTTAAGCCTGGTTACCTAAAGAGGCATCTCTCCCTATCTTATCCTATGCCCATGATTTAAAATCTTCAGGGAAGACTCAGTTGCTTATACCATCAAAGTTTGAATTTTCAGGATTCATAATATCTATCTGAATGATGTATACAGTCTACATTCCCCTAAGTTCTCAGAAGGAGAGAAACACTGATTTAATGTTATGTCATGTCTCTGTGCATGAAGTTTTTTATAAGGAGAGCAGGACTCACAGAAAAACCTTGTACACAGGGGTATGACATAATGTAAACTTTATATTTCTCTCTTTCTGAATACTTAAGGGAAGGTGGACTGCATCCAGTGTTTCTCAACCTTGGCAACTTTAAGATGTGTGGACTTCAACTCCCAGCATAGCTGGCTGGGGAATTCTGGGAGTTGAAGTCCACACATCTTAAAGTTGCCAAGGTTGAGAAACACTGGATGCAATCCACCTTCCCTTAATACAAAACAAAAAGAAAAACAAAACATGATATAATAACTCACTTACGTACTTACAGGATTCATTTTCTATAGAAATGGCTGGCTGGGGAATTCTGGGAGTTGAAGTCCACACATCTTAAAGTTGCCAAGGTTGAGAAACACTGGATGCAATCCACCTTCCCTTAATACAAAACAAAAAGAAAAACAAAACATGATATAATAACTCACTTACGTACTTACAGGATTCATTTTCTATAGAAATGGCTGGCTGGGGAATTCTGGGAGTTGAAGTCCACACATCTTAAAGTTGCCAAGGTGAGAAACAAAAAGAAAAACAAAACATGATATAATAACTCACTTACGTACTTACAGGATTCATTTTCTATAGAAATGGCTGGCTGGGGAATTCTGGGAGTTGAAGTCCACACATCTTAAAGTTGCCAAGGTGAGAAACACTGGTATATGCTATTCAGATAGAT